GCAAGCCCCTCCATAACTCAGTGGTCTGGTTTGATATCCAGGAATATATGTAGTAAAAAACCTGGAAAAAGTATAAAGTATAGCTCATATTCAATTTGTTCAACACACATTCTCACAAAGCAAGGAATCAAACAATTACAGCATATGCACATCTGTATATGAAAGTACAACACATAAATATGTCTGTTTGACATGCTGTAATGTAGAATATGAGTTTTCTTTTGTTATATAGGTCTACTGCTTAAACAGTAAAGCTCTTTTTTGCATACTTCACACCTATAAGGCAAGGTATACAATTTCTGGTTCCAGCGTCTTTGAAACAGAGCAAAAACTTAAAGATATTTACAAAGCAACTAGAGCGTGGCCTTTCAGATTTTTATATTGTTTTAGTCACCTTTGGTCTTCCCATATACAACACTGAATGAATAGTGCAATTTTCTTTGTACTCAGATTGTATCTGTTACGTTATTTACACCATGCTAGTAGCAGGTGTAAGAACAAACGTAATGGGCTCATCGAGTGGATTGTGTAAAATGAGCTACAACCCAGCACTAGTAAGTATCTTTCATTGAAGTAAATGAGAAAATTGGTTAGCATGGAATGGGCTAATAGCACTCATTAATCTTCTCTCCATGATATTTCTTAGGAGCCCCACACACGGGTTGATAAGATGATTATCTACACTTGGGAAATCTTAACTTAGACCAAAATTCTAAAGCTTGAATGTTCATACAGATCCCCTGAAAATATTGGGAAGATGCAGGTTCTATTTCAGAATATCTAGAATGGAACCCAAGAATGCAAATTTCTTTTTCTTTCTTCAATTTTTGTTTTTTATTAGTATATGTTTGCGGTATATGACAAAATTTCTAACAAGGTCCTTGCTCTTAACAAGCTGAATAAAGAGGCTGAAAAAGAAAACTTTATTATGTCACAGCAGGAAAATTTTTGTTTCTATTGCAGCAGGAAAACTGTAGTGGAACAGGGATTTTCTTTCATTCTAATGGTTTTTTAATTAAATAACTTCTATTCTTTTAAAGAGAATAACAATGGACTATCTTTTTGTTTTTGCTATTTTTCTAGAATAAAATTTCTTTTAGTAGAAAGAGTTTGAGGGAGCAATAACAAAACAGAACATGTTTTGATTTTCTGTTGATGTCAGCATTTCAAATTCTCTTTTTCTGTCCCCACAGTGAAATGGAAATTGAACAATTTGTTCTTGTAAATTTGGCTTACAAGGAACAAAGTTATATTTATAGAAACCTCAGTATATTTTCTTCTCACCCTCTCCTCCAATACCTGCTGGAGAGTTTGAGTTTAGCCAATAACAGCAGCTAATAGCCGAAATAAGACATTTTTTGGCAGCAAATGTCTCCTTGATGAATCATCATAAGAAAGATAGCAGGAGAACTTGACAGTTGGGTAGGAAAGAAAGTAGAAGCAATTTTAACAGGTTTACTCTTGCTGTAGGTAGCTTTTCTCAATTGTCAGTATTTTGGAAAACACAGTGTCTTCAGAGTCCCATTTCCTCCCATCCCTATGACTCCTGCTCTTCGTTTGCCCATTGATTTGACACGCTTTTGGGCAATTCATGGCATTGTTGTAACGGCAGCAGCTAAACCCAAATTATGAAATGCTCATACATTGCACCCAATCATAGGCACTGGCATTGGCATAAAAGGAGTGCTTGCTCCAGGTGGCCTGGAAAGGAGCAGGTCTGAATCTGTGGGCTGGGAGGGTGAGGCTGGGTCTCATTCAGGGTAGGAATGCTGGCAGCAGTGTGCCCAACTGTGCAGAACCAATGGGTTCATCGCTGGGCAGCCCTCACAAGTCAGGATATGCAACAAATATCCCATCTTTAAAAGACATTATTTACTCTTTAAAATACACAGCTGAGGTTTTTTAATTCTTTTCTAGGTGTAAATTCTACTCTAAAAGTACACAGAGCTATTATCTTGGGTTATTCACCTTCAAAATCCTGGCACACTTTTTAGAAAATACAAAAGGCTGAATGGGACCGTTCCTAAATCATTGGGCCATCTTTAGCCAAGTCTGGCAGGGCAGCTACGCCATATTTCCATGTGCTTTAAAAATGCCAGCTCATTAGAGCTTTGAGTGGTTTTACACTGAGAGGTAAAGATGCTGCTTGCAATGGATCCTGCTACTTAAAAAGCAGAATCCAGCTTTCACATTTTAACTGTATTATATAATCGATAATAAGTGTTTGCAACCTCTGGACTGTGTAATTATCAGAACAAGGCTCTAATTTTTAAAGGCCAGAACCCCCTTTGAGACTATGATAGAACAGGTAAACCATCTTCCAGGACACAAAATGAATCATCTACATTCAAGCTGGAGAGATTCAGATGTGATCTACAGAGTGTTTTTCTTCTATACCTGTGACCAGGTTATAAAATCCTATCGTCATATAATGTGAATGTTCTCTAAGCCATTCCACCGGCAGAGATTATGTTCTCAGCACTAGATACTCTGCTCAGAAGCTCTGCAGTTTCACTTCCCTTTGGAAAACTGCCTGTTGTCCGCCTCTCGCCCCAGGAAAACATTGGAGCTGTAACAGGAATCACCTACTGTGAGGTGCTGATAGCCACCAGCTTCCTGTGCTGTGGCCAGTGGAACAGGAATTATCTAAGATAATTCATTTGGTGCCAGCTACTTTGCCCATGTCATTGTTCAGCATTTCCATGCTCAGGAACCCTCCCCATGACTGGCTGCAGGTGGCGTCACTGCCATTCTGAATCATGCAAATGAGGAGGTCACATCCTCTGACTCAGGAGGCTTTATTTCGTTGAAATTTCTTTTAAAATGGCAAGCAGAGAGTTGAGCTTATTTAGATCTTACTTCCCAGAGGCATCACTTGTCCTCTTCTGACATGGACCCAGCTGTGTAAGGGAGCTGGGAAGAGGTGATGTCAGGGTCTGAGGCTGGCGAACGTATACATTCATTGGCAGGGCAGTGCCCCCTGACCCTTTGCGGTCAGGCTATCACCCACAGTCTTCACCAAATTTGGTGCAGCACTGAACAGTACATTTCCATGTACTCACCGTTCTCCTCATCTTCCCCAAGGGAAGGGCAAGTCAGGATATGCACACATAGCATGCAAAACTGAAACAGCATTGCTTTATGCAGTTTGAAAGCTATTAAATGAAGTTCCTTGTCTTTGTCCATTCTGAGCACCAGTAACCAGTATCTATTCTTCACTGGTTAAGCAACTATCTACCCCTAGACCAGATAGGCATCTGTGACAGCGTACTCTACACTGAAGGGCTATACGAGTAGATATTAGAAATAGCATTTGAGTCCCAATGAGCAATTGCATCCCAGTGTGTGACTTACTAGTTGTGTGAACTTAGGAAATTTATAGAAACTCTCTGAGCCTGAGTTTACTCATGTATAAAATGAATTAATAACAATATCTATCTCACAGCTATTGGAAAGATTAAATTAATTAATACAATACATGTTTGGTTCTTAGATCAGTGTCTGGCAGATATGAAGTACTGTATGATGGTTAGTGGTGCTTATAACACAATTTATTCCCAAATCATTTCTTTAACTCAGAGTTAAAGCCAAGAGAAACATGTGTTATAAGTAGTTTACAGGACAGAACAATATAGCTTGGATTTTGAAGTCGTCATATTACAGTTAAAAGTTGTCAGGCTACAAAATCATCATAGCTCTTAAAAGTCAGCCAAATTAAAAAAA